AAGGGCTTCCATAGCCTTGGAAACTCATGACTGGAGCATAGGGAGATTACTGATGCCATAGACAGGAGTGTCAATTGGTAAAGTCAACAACAGGAGTCACTGTGCACTTACTCCTCATGTAGGATCTCTGTCCTTAATGTGCTGTGCATTGAGATTTAATGCTATAACGAGTACTCAAACAATATATTTCACTTTGTGTTTCTATGGGGGTGCAAACTGTTGAAATCTTTACTTAATGCATACTAAACTGATCCTCTGTAAAAAAAAAAAAAAAAGAAATTAGCAACTCCCAACTTGACTGTCACTGGGATTAAACATGACAATAGGTCTGATCTGATTTCATCATCATTTAAAAAAAATCATCTATTATTTTTCACTTTATGTTTCTGTGTGGGAGCAAACTGTTGAAATCCTTACTTAATGTATACTAAGCTGATCTTCTGTATATTAAGATAATCGAAAATGAATCTTGATGTGAATGGAAGGGGAGAGGGAGTGGGAAAGGGGAGGGTTGTGGGTGGGAGGGACGGTGTGGGGGGGAAGCCATTGTAATCCATAAATCGTACTTTGGAAATTTATATTCATTAAATAAAAGTTAAAAAAAAAAACCACAACTGTCAACTTGGTTTACTATAGACTGCAAAACTCACATTTATGAATAAAAGTGAAATAAAGGCCTTCCATAACAAACAGAAATTGAAACATTTTTCACCACTCATCCAGCTTTACAAAAGATGCTTAAGGATGCACTATACACAGACCACAGAAAGATAGTCATTATTAGGAAAGAAAATAAAAGCAGAAAGTACCCCAGTAAAAGTACAAAGGAAATCCAAAACAAACAATAGGAATATATTTGGAAAAATTGTAGGGCCAAGTTGTTACTTATCAATAGTAACCTTAAATGTAAATAAGCTAAATTCTCCGCTGGCTACGTGGCTCACTTGGCTAATCCTCCACCTGCGGTGCCGGCATCCTGGGTTCTAGTCCCAGTTGGGGCACTGGATTCTGTCCTGGTTGCTCCTCTTCCAGTCCAGCTCTCTGCTGTGGCCTGGGAAGGCAGTGGAGGATGACCCAAGTGCTTGGGCCCTGCACCCACATGGGAGACCAGGAGGAAGCACATGGCTCAGGCTTTGGATTGGCACAGCACGCCTGACGTAGCTGCCATTTGGGAGGTGAACCAAAAGAAGGAAGACCTTTCTCTCTGTCTCTCTCTCTCTCTCTCTCACTGTCTAATTCTCCCTGAAAAAAAATCCTAAATTCTCCAATTAAAAGATACATACTGTTGCAAATGACCAGATTTCATTGTTTTTGACTGCTGTATAGTATTCTATAGAGTACATGTCCCATAATTTCTTTATCCAGTCTACTGTTGATGGGCATTTAGGTTGGTTCCAGGTCTTAGCTATTGTGAATTGAGCTGCAATAAACATTAATATGCAGACAGCTTGTTTGTTTGCCTATTTCATTTCTTTTGGGTAAATTCCAAGGAGTGGGATGGCTGGGTTGAATGGTAGGGTTTTATTCAGGTTTCTGAGGAATCTCCAGACTGATTTCCATAGTGGATTTACCAGTTTGCATTCTCACCAACAGTGGGTTAGTGTCCCTTTTTTCTCACATCCTCTCCAGCATCTATTGTTGGTAGATTTCTGAATGTGAGCCATTCTGACCAGGGTGAGGTGAAACCTTATTGTGGTTTTGATTTGTATTTCCCTGATTGCTAGTGATCTTGAACCTTTTTTCATGTGTCTCTTGGCCATTTAGATTTCCTCTTTTGAAAAATGTCTGTGAGGTCCTTGGTCCATCTCTTAAGTGGGTTGTTTGTTTTGATGTTGTGGAGTTTCTTGATTTCTTTGTAGATTCTGGTTATTAACCCTTTATCTGTTGCATAGTTTGCAAATATATTTCCCATTCTGTCGGTTGCCTCTTCACTCTCCGGACTGTTTCTTTTGAAGTACAGAAACTTCTCAATTGGGTGCAATCCCAAATGTTAATTTTGGCTTTGACTGCCTGTGCTTCTGGGGTCTAAATCCGGTCATTTGCAACAAGATGGAGGATTCTGGAAAACATTATGCTGAGTGAATTAAGCCAGTCCCCAAAGGACAAATATCACATGTTCTCCCTGATAAGCGACAACTAACTGAGCACCAAAGGGGAAACCTGTTGAAGCGAAATGGACACTATGAGAAACAGTGACTTGATCAGCCCTTGTCCAGACTGTTGATGTACAATATTATACTTTATCCATTTTAGTATTTTTTTAGTTCTAGTACTATTGCTTGAACTCTGTAATTAACACACAATTATTCTTAGGTGTCTAAATTTTAACTGAAAAGTGATCCCTGTTAAATATAAGAGTGGGAATAAGAGAGGGAGGAGATGTACAATTTGGGACATGCTCAATCGGACTTTCCCCAAATGATGGAGTTAGAAACGTGCCAGGGGATTCCAATACAATCCCATCAAGGTGGCATGTACCAATACCATCTCACTAGTCCAAGTGATCAATTTCAGTTCACAATTGATCACACTGATAGGTCTAAGAGTCAAAGGGTTCACACAAACAAGACTAGTGTCTGCTAATACTAACTGATAGAATCAAAAATGGAGAGAACGATCCAACATGGGAAGCGGGATACACAGCAGACTCATAGAATGGCAGATGTCCTAAATAGCACTCTGGCCACAGAATCAGCCCTTAAGGCCTTCAGATCTGGCTGAAGAACCCATGAGAGTATTTTAGGCATGGAAAGCCAAGACACTCTGGAGAAAAAAAAAAAAAAAGAAGAAGACCTAAATGAAAGATCTCTGCGAGTGTGATCCCAGGGGAAAGAACGGGACCATCAAAGAAGGGGGTACTTTTCTCTGAAGGGAGGAGAGAAATTCCACTTCGACTATGACCCTGTCGGAATAAGATTGAAGTCGGCAAACTCAAAGGCTTCCATAGCCTTGGCAACTCATGACTACAGCCTAGGGAGATTACTGACGCCATAAACAAGAGTGTCAAATTGTTCAGTCAATAACAGGAGTCACTGTGTACTTACTTCTCATGTGGGATCTGTCCTTAATGTGTTGTCCAATGTGAAGTAATGCTATAACTAGTACTGAAACAGTATTTTACACTTTGTGTTTCTGTGTGGGTGCAAACTGATGAAGTCTTTACTTAATAAAAATCTTTACTTAATAAAAATTTATCTTCTGTATATAAAGAGAATTGAAAATGAATCTTAATATGAATGGAATGGGAGAGGGCATTTGACATGGGAGGGGTGCGAGTGGGAGGGAAATTATTGGGGGGAAAGCCATTGTATCCATAAACTCTACTTTGGAAACTTATATTTACTAAATAAAAAAATATTAAAAAAGATACATACTGGCCTAATGGATTAAAAAAATAAAAAAACAAGACCCTGCTCTTTGATGCCTACAAGAAACACACTTTACCAACAAAGATACATGTGCACTGAAAGTAAAAGGATGGAAAAAATATTCCATGCTAACAAAAAGAAAAGTGAGCAGGTGTAGCTATCACAAAATCAGACCAAGTAGACTTTACTGCAAAAATGATTAAAAGCAACAATGAAGGGCATTATTTAATGATTAAGGGATCAATTCAACAGATGAGCTGACTATAACAAATATATATGCACCCTATTATAAGGTGCCTGGCTATTTGAAACAAATGTTCATGGTACTAAAGGGAGACATAGAGGACAATGCAATAGTAATGGGTAATGGAACCTCAACACTGAGCTTTCATCAATAGAATGGTCCACTACATAGAAAATCAACAAACAACACAGCTAACTGACACTATAGACCAAAATTGACCTAACTGATATCTTTAGAACCTTTCAAACCACAATTTCAGAATACACATTCTTTGATCAGTGCATAGAACTTTCTCTGGGATAGACCTTATGCTAGGCCACAAAGCTAGTCTCAGCAAATTCAAAAAAAAAAAAAAAAAAAAAAAAACTAAAAATCACAAGAAGTATTAATTCTGACCACAGTTGAAAAAAGCTGGAAATTAACCACTCAAGAATCTCTGAAAAAATGTAAACATATGTAGATTGCACAACACATTCTTGAACAAATACTAGGTCATGGAAGAAATCAAAAGGGAAATAAAAAAATTCCTGGACATGAATGAAGACAATACAACACATCAAAAGTTATCAGATAAGCAAAGACAGTGTTTACAGGGAAGCTTATATCAATTAGTGCCTACATTAAAAAACTGGAAAGGAATCAAATTATTCAATGCATCTCAAGGGACTAGAAATACAAGGAAACAAACCCAAAATTAATAGGATGAAAGAAATAGAGATGCTATAAATAAAATTTAAGCAACAAATAATACAAAAGACCAGTGAAATGAAGCTACTTTTTTGAAAATATAAACAAAATTTATACACATTATATTGATATAATAATATCACAACTATTATATATATATACACACACAATTATCAGTTGATATCCAATTATAAGTTGATAAACATCTGGGTAGATTCCATAGCTTATATATTGTGAATTTAGCTGCAATAAACATAGGGGTACAGATAACTCTTTCATGTCCTGATTTAATCTCCCTTGGGTGAATTCCCAGCAGTGGGGTTGCTGTGTCATCTGGTAAATCTATTTTCAGATTTCTGAGATAATTCCATACAGTCTTCCACAATGAATGTATAATGTACATCCCAATGAACAGCAGATTGGTGTACCTTTTTCCTCACATCCTCATCAGCATTCATTGTTTGAAAGGTATTTTTCAAAAGAGGAAATTCAACAGACAGAATCATTTATGGTAATTCTGACCTGAAGCTTCATATTTTTTTTAAAGATTTTAAGGCAAAAATATTTGAAAGACAGAATTATATGCATATAACATAAATATATATATGAGAGAGTATATATATGTGAGAGAGAAGGAGACAGAGAAACAAATAGTGAGAGGATCTTCCATCTACTGGTTCACTCTCCAGCTGGGCCAGGCCAAAGGCAAGACCCAGGAACTTTATCTGGGACTCTGTTGTGGATGACAGGAACCCAGGTCCTAGGGATATCATCCACTGCCTTTCAAGGCACATTGATAGGTAGCTGGTTTGATAACTCAGAGTAGCTGACTTAAACCAGGCACTCCAATATGGGGTGGGAGTGTTCCAAGTGGTTGCCATTCCTGATGTGTCACAATGCCTAATTCAGGAACTTTTGCACCTCATAAAAATTTTAGAATCAATTTGTTCACATTTCTCTTCCCCCCAAAAAAGTTATTGGTAGTTTGAATGTAATTGCATTATCTTTATATTTCAGTGGACAAATATTCAAGATTTTCAATACCGAGTGAGTATTTATGAACATTAACATTGTGTCATTTGTTTAATTCTTCCTTTATGTCTTTCAATGATATTTTGCACTTTTCTCTCTAAATTTCATTCTCTTTATTTATCACCTTTTTATTATAGTATTTATCTCATTAATTTTTATATATATGAAACAAAGTATATGAACATGTAGAAATTTTAATGAACACCTGTATGATTTATTAAGTATATTATACTCATATCATTAATATATAAACATGTAGTTTGAATTTACCTCAATTTTAAAAATAATAGCTTCCACTAAGAATAGAAAGAGAACAACAACTTCAAAACTTGCATCTTCATCTATGATTACTTCATGGAATAATCTGAAGTAAATGTAATTATTTTTAACTTTTGATTAATGATGCATGTGAATGAATTTTATCCCTTTTGAGTTTGTATATAATTTACAAGGCAAAGATTAAAAGGCAAACACAATAAAATAAGTTTTGCAAATAAACACGTAGCTAAAAATGCAGTGCACCAAACATGCATTTGCTATTGGGGATTTATTCAAAAAAAGTGTTTCCCCTTGGCCACAGGGTTGAGATTCCAGAGTCAGTAACACAGTTTTCCAATGCTGCACTGAGAAGCCCAGGCAGGTACTGGACCCTGTTAGGTGTCGGCAGATCTTCATTCAGCCTGACATTACAAGGACGGTTCATAGCCCAGAACTTCACATCCTCTTGAATCTCACATGACTGATACTTCATCCGATGCTACCTTGTGTTTCCGTCTTAACCATTTACACAGTGCTCTCTGAAACTCCTTGTTCAATGAAAAGATCCTCCAGTAGCCTGAAATTCTGCACAGAATTCTTCCTCTCTGTTTGCCTAAAGCTAAACCTTACCTCAAATCCCCCAAATCAAGGCTTTGTTAAAGAGAAACTATGTTCTTTCTTCTGTCCTTTTCCTATCTCTGGACAAAGATATAATTTTGTTACTATTCTGCCATGCTTCCTTGTCATTTATAAGTAACTTTTCCTTCAAGAATAGTGTGGACTTTGGAGACAGATTGTTTAGTAAAGTTTTGCTCCAACATTTTCTAGCAACATGGCCTTGGGCAATTAATAATTATTTTTGTGTCTCTATGTTATCAGCTAAGAAAACCGACACCCAGAACACTTACCTTGTAGGCTTGTTGTTAGAATAAAGTGAGCCAATAAAGTTAACACACATACCAATGGCTTCTGAAGCATAAATTGATTACAATATTTTTCATATACAATCATTGCTAAATCTGTATCTGTTAGTCTCCACAACTGGTTTCATATACAGTCTTCATAACACCAAAAAATATTAAATTTGCCATTAAAAAACACTGTTACTGTTGTTTTCTCTATGGAGAATTCTGCTCACTTCATATATTATCTTGGTATAATTTCAAACAAGTTTAGCTCTTATTTGAATGATGGTTTGATATTGGTTTACATATATGTGTAATGAACAAATAAACTGAAAAATAATTATAGATTTTATAAACATCACTAAAAAATCACTAAAGAAAAATTAAATAAAAATTTAGACGGGTACTAGTTATTAAATCTATGGAGTAAATATGATTAAAAGCAAATGCAGAACGATACTTAGGTACTATAACCATGTATATATACCCACGTATTAGACAACCTTCAAGAAATGACTTACTTTGAAGTTCCCAGTATTTCCAAAGGAAATATGGAAAACATAAAGTCCTTCCAACACCTACTTAAGTAAGCTTGGAGGAAGATCCTCCTTGCAAGGAATCTTTCAGATAGACCACAGACCCAGCTGCCAGTTTGAAATCCCCTTGCAATGTACTTAACCCAGTGTTTATTGACTAAATAATCAAATACTTAGAGAAACTATAAAAGAATAAACGTTTGTTGATTTAAACTTTAAAGATTTGGATCAATTTATTATATAAGAGGAGACTTGGAAAAGCTCATGAAAGGGGCATACTACCTTTAAATTTCATTTCTTCAAAGATTTATTCAATTGAGAGGCAGAGTTACAAAGACAAAGAGAGATAAAGAGAGACAGAGAGAAGGCCAGCTCCACGGCTCACTAGGCTAATCCTCCGCCTTGCGGTGCCGGCACACCGGGTTCTAGTCCCGGTCGGGGCGCCGGATTCTGTCCTGGTTGCCCCTTTTCCAGGCCAGCTCTCTGCTGTGGCCAGGGAGTGCAGTGGAGGATGGCCCGAGTACTTGGGCCCTGCACCCCATGGGAGACCAGGAGAAGCACCTGGCACCTGGCTCCTGCCATCGGATCAGCGCAGTGCGCCGGCTGCAGCGTGCCGGCCGCGGCGGCCATTGGAGGGTGAACCAACGGCAAAGGAAGACCTTTCTCTCTGTCTCTCTCTCACGGTCCACTCTGCCTGTCAAAAACAAAAACAAAAAAGAGACACAGAGAGAGAAAGAGAGAGAGAGATCTTCCATCCATTAACTAATTTCTCAAATGGCCTTAAATGCCAGGGTTAGGCCAGGCTGAAGCCAGAAGTCAGGAACCTCTTCTGGGTCTACCATGCAAGTCTCAGGGGAACCAGGGACTTGGGTCATCTTCAGCTGCTTTCCCAGGCATTTTAGCAGAGAGCCTAATAAGTGGAACAGCCGGGAGTAGAACCGGTGCCCACAAGGAATGCAAGTGCTGCAGGCAACAGCTTAACCTGAAGTGTTATGGTACTAGCCTCTAAATTTAATTTTTATGAATGTTTTGAAGCCCACTCACCCTTCATTTTTCCTATGTGAATCTAATGTGAATTTCCTTAGTGTAAAATCTGAATTTTATATTGGCTTCTTCATAGGTCTTTATAACTCCTATAAATAATGTATAAGCCAGCTAAAGAAAGATCATTAGAAAATCAAGCAGAACACTTAAATTCTGTATCCAGTAGCAAGAGTTATTAATAGTGCTTAAATCAAATCTTAATGCTTACGCATAAGAGTATCAGGTAAAAAGGCAATTAAGGTCAGTAACACTTGAAGCATATACAAGGCTACAGGGAGTTATTGTGTTACAGTTTTGTCCAATTACCAATGGCTTCTTTCATAATGAATATGTCATGAGAAAACCAGATACAATTATATTTAATATTTTTATAAAGATTGCTTTGAGAGCAACAGTAATGTTTACCTTAGAATTCTTAGTCTATAACTATTAACAAAGCTGCTTTTTGAGGAAATCTTTTCGTTACTTATTTATGATTTGACTCATCATATATTGGAATAACTACACTGATATGTCTCTTTCATATTCATTTAGTAACTTTTGAGGAATAGTATTCATTGTTGCTACTTTTTTAAAAAGCACACTGAGACCTGGAGTGTTTTAATAGCTTATATGGTAATATCTCAGTTAAAAATAAATAATGAACTGGATATCAAGCAAATGTGGCAGATTTAAAATCTCATTTAAAAACAAAGAATTATAATCCATTGTTTTAGATTTTAAAACTCAATTATATAATTTATTTCCCACTGTAATTCAGACAAAATTATATATGTAAGATGTTAAAATGTGTTATACTGAAATAAAAATTGAGTTGTGGGTCTTGGTGTTAAATCAGTTTGAACAAAACTGAGTTATATGTATGTAAACAGATTGTGTTACTTGAGGAATTTCAGAACTGTTATCTATATTGAGAATTATGTTTGCTACATAGACAATTTTAAGCAAAATTTACTTGAAGAAAAATCTATAAATAAGAGCACAGCACTTACAAAGACTTCCACAAAACAAAATGCATGTGTTGCCCCATTTGAATCACAAAACATTGTAAAACACAAAGTGTTTATCATGCCACTCTTATCGCTAGCTCTCCCAAGCCATGGCTAACAATCATGGTGACTACATAATGTGTTTTTCCATCACTGTACAAATGCAATCACATGTCTGATTTCTATCACTCAGTATTGCATTTGAGATTGTATTTGTGAATTAATGGATTGGTGTGTGTTTGCAGTTGTAATTTATTCATTCGCAGTGCTGTGTAATGTTCCAGTTATGGATATATAAAATTTTAGGAGTTGTATAGTTGCAATGAAATTTAACACTAATAAATGAAGACTATTAGCAAACTACAGTTGTGGAAATTCTTGTACATATAAGATTATTTTCACATACATATGTATGTGTGTATGTATATGTCTTTTTATTTTATATGGGCACTGGTTTGTGTTTTGGCTGCTTCATTTTTTTTGGGGGGGAGATTTATTTATTTATTTGAAAGGCAGTGTTACAGAGAGGCAGAGAGAGGTCTTCTATCCTGGCCAGCGCTGTGGCATATGAGGCTAATCCTCCGCCTGTGGCGCCGGCACCCGGGTTCTAGTCCTGGTTGGGGCGTTGGATTCTGTCCTGCCCGGTTTGCTCCTCTTCCAGTCCAGCTCTCTGCTGTGGCCGGGAAGGCAGGGAAGGATGGCTCAGGTCACTGGGCTCTGCACCCACATGGGAGACCAGGAGGAAGCACCTGGCTCCTGGCTTTGGATCAGTGCAGCACACCAGCTGTAGTAGCCATTTGAGGGGTGAACCAACGGAAGGAAGACCTTTCTCTCTCTCTCTCTCTCACTGTCTAACTCTGCCTGTCAAAAAAAATTAAAAAAAAAAGTCATCTATCCTCTGGTTCACTCCACAGATGGCTGCAACGGATGGTGCTGTGCCGATCTGAAGCCAGGAACCAGGAGCTTCTTCCAGGTCTCCCACGTGGGTACAAAGCCCAAGGACTTGGTCCATTTTCTATTGCTTTCCCAGGCCATAGCATAGAGCTGGATTGGAAGTGGAGCAGCAGGGACTCAAACCGGGGCCCATATGGGTTGCTGGCACTACAGTAGCTTTACTCTCTACACCACAGCACAGGCCCCTGTATATGTCTTTTGGTGGATGTGCACTTGCGCAGCTGTAGGGGGATTAGAATTATAGGGGAATTGCCTGTCTATTGCAGTGGTCTGAATGTTTGCGTCCCTTAATAGTCTTATGTTCAACTTAATTCTCTCTGTGACAGAAGATGGTGCTGAGAAGTGAGTAAGTCGTGAGAACTCTGCTCTCAAGCGAGGACATGGGGACAAGGCACCATCTATTAACTGGAAAGCAGGCTCTCACCAGACCCGGATATGTCAGCTCTTTGAACTTAAACTTTCCAAATGCCAGAACTATGAGAAATAAATTTCTGTTGGTAATAACCTTAACCTATTTAATTTACATTGTTACAACAGCCCAAGCATACGAACATAGTTTAGCATGAGTAGAAACTGCCAATTTTTTTTCCCCAAGGTGATTATAATAATGTGTATTTCAGTGGCCGTGTAGAAAGACTTTCCCTTTTATTTATTTTTTTGCCAAACTTTAGTATCTATCTTTACTATTTTTCCTTCCTTTCTGATTAGCTCATCTTGTGTCTGACATGTTATTGTGGTTTTGATTTGCTGATCTTTGATGATAAATGGAAGTTGCAACTCACCTTATTTCATTATTTGCTATTGGATAACCCATTAGAGCATTTTTAATGAACATATACTCTTATATTGAATGGAAACCAATTTGCTAGTTTTCCATAATAGCACTCAGTATGCTATTTAAATTTTCCTTAATGAAATATTATATAGATATCCCCATAAATTGTCCACTGGAAGCCATGATTTGTCGCATTCAAATCTACGTTTCACTCAGGACTGTATTCAAGGGGTCCGAAGTAGTCCTTAAGGTTATTTTATATCCATGCAGATATGAAATTTTCCCAGTAGTATATTTTTTTGACAGGCAGAGTGGACAATGAGAGAGAGAGAGACAGTGAGAAAGGTCTTCCTTTGCCATTGGTTTACCCTCCAATGGCCGCTACGGCCAGTGCACTGTGGCCAGCACACGCGCTTATTGGAAGCCAGGAGCCAGGTGCCTCTCCTGGTCTCCCATGCAGGTGAAAGGCCAAAAAATTGAGCCATCCTCCACTGTACTCCTGGGCCACAGCAGAGAGCTGGCCTGGAAGAGGAGCAACCGGGACAGATTCCGGCACCCCAACTGGGACTAGAACCCTGTGTGCCGGCGCCGCAGGCAGATGATTAGCCTATTGAGCCACGGTGCCGGCCCCAGTAAGTATAATTTTTAAATATCCTTTCTCATTTAAGGAAGGTCTTATTGATTATCAAGTGAATATATATTCGAAGGTATATTTATAAAGTATATACTTAATGTAGTTTTATATCCTTATTCCATACTATAGATACTGCTGTATGCCCTATATGCACTTTTTTATTTTTTAACTTTTATTTAATAAATATAAATTTCCAAAGTATTGCTTTTGGATTACAGTGGCTTTCCCCCCACATAAGCTCCCTCCTACTTGCAACCCTCCCACCTGCCTCTCCCTCTCCCATTCCATTCACATCAAGATTCATTTTCAATTCTCTTTATATACAGAAGATCAATTGACTTAACAATTGACACTATTGTTTATGGCGTCAGTAATCTCCCTAAGCTCTAGTCATGAGTTGCCAAGGCTATGGAAGCCTTTTGAGTTCGCTGACTTAGATTTTATTTAGAAAAGGTCATAGACAAAGTGGAAGTTCTCTCCTCCCTTCAGAGGAAGGTACTTCCTTTTTTGATGCCCCATTTTTCTACTGGGATCTCACTCGCAGAGATCTTTCATTTAGGTCATTTTTTTTTTTTTTGCCAGAGTGTCTTGGCTTTCCATGCCTAAAATACTCTCATGAGCTCTTCCGCCAGGTCCGAATGCCTTAAGCTCTGGTTCTGAGGTTAGAGTACTGTTTAGGACACCTACCTTCTTAGAGTCTGCTATGTATCCCACTTCCCATGTTGGATAATTCTCTCCTTTTTAATTCTTTCAGTTAGTATTAGCAGACACTAGTCTTGTTTATATTATCCATTTGACACTTAATCCTTTCATTCTGATCAATTGTGGACTCTTATTCCCACTCTTATATTTAACAGGGATCACTTTTTAGTTAAATTTAAACACCTAAGAATAACAGGGTGTTAATTAAAGAGTTCAACCAATAGTATTAAGTCGAAAAAAAATACTTAAAGGGGTGAAGTATTAAGTTGTTCATCGACAGTCAGGACAAGAGCTGATCAAGTCACTGTTTCTCATAGTGTTTCCAACTTTTCCCCATTCAATAGGATACTGGCCGTGGGTTTTTCATAAATTGCTTTGATTGTATTGAGGAATGTTCCTTCTATACCCAGTTTGCTGAGAGTTTTCATCATGAAAGGGTGTTGTATTTTATCAAATGCTTTCTCTGCATCTATTGAAATAATCATATGGTTTTCCTTCAGCGGTTTGTTAATGTGGTGTTTGAGAAGAACTGGAGTTAGTTCTACTTTAAATGTGGTAGAATTCAGCAGTTAATCCATCCAGTCCTGGGCGTTTCTTGGTTGGGAAGGACTTTATTACTTATTCAATTTCTGTCTCAGTTATGGGTCTGTTTATGTTTCTGTGTCTTCATTGTTCAATTTATGTAGGTTGCATGTGTCCAGGAATCTATCCATTTCTGAAAGATTTCCCTGTTTGCTGACATACAACTCTTTGTAGTAATTTCTGATGACTCTTTTTATTTCTGTGGTGTCTGTTGTTACATTCCTTTTTTCATCTCTGATTTTCGGTTTTGTCTTTTCTCTTCTTTTTTTTAGTTATTTGGGCCAATGGTGTGTCAATTTTGTTTACTTTTTCAAAAAACCAGCTCTTCATTTGACTGATCTTTTGTAATTTTTTTTTGATTCAATCCTCTTGATTTCTTCTCTTCTCCTACTAGTGTTGGGTCTGGTTTGCTTTAGTTTTTCTAAATCATTGAGATGCATTGCAAGCTTATTTATTTGGAGCCTTTCCAGTTTCTTCATGTAGGCACCTATTGCTATAAACTTTCTTATTAGCACTGCTTTTGCTGTATCCCATAAGTTTTGATATGTTGTGTTGTTATCCTCATTTACTTCCAGAAAGTTTTTGATTTCTCTTTTGATTTCTTCTAAGACCCAGTGTTCATTCAGGAGCATATTTTTCAGTCTCCATGTGTTTGCATATGCTCTAGGGATTCCTGAGTTGCTAATTTCCAACTTCATTCCACTGTGGTCTGATAAGCTGCATGGTATGATTCTAATTCTTTTGAATTTGCTTAAACTGGCTTTATGGCCTAGTATGTAGTCAATCATAGAGTAGGTTCCATGTACTGCTGAGAAGATTGTAAATTCTTTAAGTGTAGGATTAAAAGTTCTGTAGATATCTGTTAGATCCATTTGGACTATAGTGTCGATTAAATCTGCTGTTTCCTTGTAGATTTTAAGTCTGGTTGATATGTCTATTTCTGAAAGTGGAGTATTGAAGTCCCCCAATACTATTGTATTGGAGTCTAAGTCTCACTTTCACTTGAAATATCTTTTAAATAAACCAGTGCCCTCTAATTAGGTGCATATACATTTATAATAGTTACATCTTCCTGTTGAGTTAATCCCTTAATCATTATATAGTGCCCCTCTTTGTCTCTATTAAAAGTTTTTGTGTAGGGCCGGCACCATGGCTAAATAGGCTAATCCTCCGCCTGCGGCACTGGCACACTGGGTTCTAGTCCCAGTCAGGGTGCCAGATTCTGTCCCGGTTGCTCCTCTTCCAGGCCAGCTCTCTGCTGTGGCCCAGGAGTACAGTGGAGGATGGCCCAAGTGCTTGGGGCCTGCACCCACATGGGAGACCAAAAGAAGCACCTGGCTCCTGGCTTCAGATCAGCGTGGTGTGCCAGTTGCAGCACACTAGTTCAGCGGCCATTGTGGGGTGAACCAACAGAAAAAGGAAGACCTTTCTCTCTGTCTTTCTCACTGTCCACTCTGCTTGTCCAAAAAAAAATAGTTTTTGTGTTAAAGTTTATTTTGTTTGATATTAATATGTCTACGCTAGCTCTTTTTTGGTTTCTGTTGGCATGGAATATCTTTTTCCAACCTTTCACTTTCAGTCTGCATGCATCTTTGTTGGAAAGATGTTTTTCCTGTAAGCATCAAATGGATGGGTTTTGTTCCTTAATCCATTCAGCCAGTCTGTGTTTTTTAACTGGAGAGTTGAGGCCATTAACATTCAATGTGACTATTGATAAGTAGTAATTTTGCCCTGATATTTTCCCAAAGATATTTTTAATATATGCTTTGAACTTCCTGTGATCTTTTACTGGGAGGTTTTCTTTCTTTACCATCTTTCATATTGATGGCCGTGTTTCTGTGTGTAAAACATCCTTTAGCATTTTTTGCAAGGCTGGACGAATGGTGACAAATTCTTTCAATTTCTGTTTGCCACAAAATGTCTTTATTTTTCGTTCACAAATGAGAGCTTTGCAGGATATAATATTCTGGTTGGCAGTTTTTTTCTCTTTGTACCTGGGCTATATCTCACCATTCCCTCCTAGCCTGTAGGGTATCTGATTAGAAGTCTGCTGTGAGTCTAATTGGAGATCCTCTGGGAGTAATCTGACGTTTCTCTCTTGCACATTTTAGAATCTTTTCTTTATGTTTCACTGTGGTGAGTTTTATTACAACATGTCATGGTGAGGATCTCTTTTGGTCATATTTATTAGGGGTTCTATGAGCGCCTGTACTTGGATGTCTCTGTCCTTCTCCAAACCCAGGAAGTTTTCTGTTAGTATCTCACTAAAAAGGCCTTCTAATCCTTTCTCTCTCTCTCCATGCCTTCCAGAACTCCTAGAACCCGAATGTTGTTTTTTTTTTTTTTAATAGTATTCTGTAGATTCCCAACAATATTTTTTAGATTTCTAATTTCCTCTTCTTTTCTTTGGTTTGACTGTATACTTTCCTGTGCTCTGTCTTCTAAGTCCAATATTGTCCCTTCTGCTTCACTGATTCTGTTTTTAAGGTTCTCAAATGTGTTTGTCATTTGATCTATTGAACTCTTCATTTCATTTTGATTTCTCTTCAATATCACAATTTCGTGTTCTACTAGATTCCTCATTTCATTTTGATTCCTCCTTAAGATTTCATTTTCATGAGAGAGATTTTCTATCTTGTCCAGTAAGGATTTCTGTAGTTCAAGAACTTGTTTTTGAAAACTTCTAAATGTTCTTATCATAAATTTTTTAAATCCATATCTTGCATTTCTGATATCTCATCATCTTCATAATCTTGCATTGGAGTGTCATGTTCATTTGGGGGTATCATAATGCCTTCCTTGTTCTCATTTCCTCAGTTTCTACATTTGTTGCTTGGCATTGTGGAGATATTTAGTTTCTTTTTTTTTTTCCTCATTGTGGTGGCTTTTCTTGTTATACTATGACTCTAGATTAAGTGGACTGTCTGCTTTTGGTGGATCTTTAGAGGCTTGTGATGGGTGTTGCAAGAGAGCTCTGTTCAGTTCTAAAGGG